ATATAAAGAAGTTCAAATTAGCAACCTCTAACAACAACAGTGACGTGTTGCTATGTTTTTGCATCTGTAATAATAAGCCAATAATGTAATATAATGTAATACTTTAACACTCTGAAGAGACATTGTGTATAATAAATGCTTTTACTTTTGATATTTAGCTGATCTGTACTGTTATTTTAGTAAAATTTTTAATGCAATTTTGTAGTAATGTGTAGTGTGTTTTAAATAGCTTCTTCCCTCAGGCTGTTAAATTATTTCTTAACAATTCATCTTTCAGTGTTTTTTCATTTCATTCATTATAAATGGCAATAAAATAACCTTGAATCTCATCCCAAACTCTCAAGAACAGACTGGAAACTTGTTTTTTGGTGTAGTTTTTTAATCAATAATCTTCAGATACTTGTTTTAGTCTGTATTGTTCTGAATCACTGACATTGTTTTGTCACTTATCAGGCAGCACATACTGGATCAGATCTGTCTGCAGGTCTGTGTTGTGTCTCACCATTGCTCCTGTAGTTTGGGGCCTCGACATCTTATTCTTGCAGATGGAGTCACGACTCTCTGCACATTCCTCCCCTGTGGTCTTATCTTCGGTTGTTTCCGCTGTGCCGTCTGTGAGCTTTGGGGTGAAACCGGCGGCGGCGCTGCAAGTCCCCGACCGCCCGGCCCGAGTCTGCCGCACCAGGCGCTCCGCCCGACGGATGGAGCGGACCGTCCCATTACGCCAAGACTGCGGTCCGATGGTGACAGAGCCGAGGGGCACCGACTGGACCTGCATTCCTTCACATGCACGGTCCTCCTAATTAAATGTTACCTCTCTGAATATGACAAACCCCCTCTACTCAGTATTATTAGTGCTCTGTGAGGCATTCAGGGTGAACTTTGTGTGAGGTGTTGAGGTACCAGCTCCATAGCAACGGTTCCTGAAGTAACTAGAAACTCAAAGCTGTTTGGTGATAGGTTAGTGAGGAGAAGACAGGGGGCACTGTCAGTCAACACAGGCATTACAGTATATTTAATTTCAGGTTTCAGGTGCTGTACAATAACCATTAATTTCCACCCTGGTTCTATATAGTTACATGACTCTACAGGTTGGGTTAGTACGAAACTCTCCCGGTTGAATCATCAGTACAACATATTAACAACTGCGTTAGAAAATATCTGGTTCTTTGATAAAAAGTCAAAAGGTGTAGACACTTAGAAGGTTTAAGTTAACTACGACTCCCATGGTGCATTTCGGCAAGGAAAGATCCGCCACAGCGCTTAAAATTATTTTACGTGTGCCGCTAACTGCAGGTGAAAGCTAAAATTAACGGTGGGTCCTTGTGAGAAAACTGACAATATCTGTCCCTAACATCTATTTACTATTATTTTATTTGTTTAACACTATGGCGCCGTGTTTTGTTCCCCAATTTAAAACTACACTCTGATTCGCGCCTCTAGCTTCTATTCCATAGCAACGGTAGCAGAGGCTCATGGGTATTGTAGTGTTTAGACATATCCGCCATGCCACAATAATGCACAAAACTGAATTTTCCCGAAATTAAGTTGAAATAATAATTATTGGCGGTCATAACATAAACCTATATGATAGTTGCATTATCCGAGAGAGTCTTGTGTTTCTATGTTCACTGATATTGATGAAAACGACATGGAAATACAGAATAGGTAAAACACAAAATAAATAATGGCATCTAGACATTAGTAATTTGGATCAGAGTGTTTAATTCTCTTGAGCTAAAAGGAAAAAAAAAATGTCTCCAGTTATAAATCCCAGATTAACAACAGGCTACAAGACATGTAAACACATTGAAGATCATTGAGAATAGTTCCAAAATAAAATGAAAAAAAAAAGACGGAGACATATAAAAGCAGAAAAATGAAGTTAAAAATATTATTTTGGTCCTAAGTATTCCCCTCCACAAGTGCTAAACTAGCACTGTAAACAAAAGTGACAGTACTGAGAAAGTAAAAAGACAAACACAATAAAGACACCATTGCAAAGAGTTAATAGACAGGCAAATTCAGATTTAAATTAATATTGTACCCAGATCTCACACACACACGCACGCACGCACACAAACAAATAAAGGTTTGATTAAATAATCTACTAACAATACCATTCAGAAATGTTTGTATCAGCAACAAATCCTGCAGCATGAAATGAAATCTAATCACTGCCTAACCATTAGACCCATAACATTCAAAAATACAATAATCAGGTGATTTTTAAATCAAGTATTAAACATCCAGCTATAAGAAGCTAGACCCGACATCTGTCCGTACTGAAAACAATCAGGCTGTGTCTGACTCTCTAAAGTCTGAAATTACTGATTCACTCCAGAGAGTTTAGTAGTAATTGTGGAAGAATAAACTTTCCTTCGGCCCACGCCAGGACAAAGGCAGGTCTGCAAACACAAACCCCCAAAAAATGTAGAAATAAATAAATAGACTTAATGTACACCACGATAAATATGCTGAAGAGGTCGGTGCAGAAAGTGCAAAAGTAATCTCGTCTCTGTGCAGTTAGATTGCATCTTGTCAGCTCAGTTGTCCTCTATCACAGTGTGTGTTTGATGGCGGTCAGAGGCTCACGTTTGTTCTGCAGGTTCTGCTGCAGCTCTCTGAACAGATGGTCCCGCTCCTCTGCATCCAACAGGATTTGCTAAGTTGAGGAAAAATAAAATATCTCAGTCCCCATCACGAGTAATCATAACGAAAGCTCAGATTTTCACTTCTTTGATCCACCTTTCTCTTGTTCTTTTTCATTTAGAAGTAGATTTTTTTTACTTTAAAAAGATTTAATATGCAACATTTCCGCATTAAAATAGAACTAGGTTATATAATGTTCAAACTCAGAGAAATACGTAATTTTATTTAGGCAACGGTGCGTTTCACCGATCGCCCGTCAACGGCGTCATATCATCCTTTGCACAAGCGTTATGGTTGTCATAATCTGACATTATCCAGTTTTAATTCAAATTTTTATGATTCACTTTTTAGATGGTCGTTTTTTAACTACATATTTTAACTAGATGAAGGATTTTAGTTATCAGACATCTGGATCTTGAGTTATCAGATACAAGTTGAGCTAACATTAGCAGCAGCTTGGGTGGCAGGAACTGTGGGGTACCAAGAGCATTGGAGAAACACTTAATTTTAAAAGGTGAAACTGCCATTCCGCATCGGTATTTTACTGGATTTTTCAATAAGTCAGATACTGTTTATTTTTTAGCATGAACCAGGAAACCACTGGATCAATATACTACACGAGAATCTGACTGCGATGACGGCAATGGCGGTGAAAACAACAACTCCCACGATCCCACACTATTTCAAAACATCATCAAACCTCTCCTTTTGTTATTGTTTTGATGTGAGAGACCCCTAGTGGCAGAAATAAAAATATTGTGCATTTAATTCCTTATATTTGCCTTCTCACTTAAATCAAAATACATCCTGTGGCTGCATTGCATTGTGTTCTATGGAGGCTGATCTGAAATCTTTCACCAACATATTTTTCTTGGCATGACTGTGAGTCTATAAAAAGCCATCAAACATTGATTCTGAGGATCTGACAGTAAAATCTGGCACTGATGTTTGGAGGTGTTCAAGGTTCTTATTGAAGTAAAAAATAGAAACTACATCACCAGAAACAAGTTTAAGTATTCAAGTCCTTCAGGGTGTATTTTTACTCCTTGCTCTTTTGTCTCCTTTTGTTGTCTTCCTACAGTAAACACGGACAGGGCCGGTCACTGTGTGGTATGTGGAAGAGAGAAATGTCACACTGTGCACAACAATAGTAACTTGATGAATCATCTCAAGACATATTCAGCTCCTTTCAGGATCATTAAAGATGGACCAAACCAAACTGGCATGACAACATTTGTACTGCACATTCCTTGGACTGTTGACAGATGCCAGACTGAGATATCATCTGCCTTCACAACAAAACCATCAAGCAAGTTAACATCAGTGCAGGTTTCCTGTTGTTAATTCATGTATGTGGAATGTTTGGCCTCCAAATAAGTAGTGTTTTAATCATTATTTTACTTTAGGCATCATTTGGAAAATAATTAATATTATTTATAATTTTCATAATTATTATTGTTTGATTAATGCAAAAGTGTTTGGGTCTATGAAACCAACAGTCTAAAACCACAATATATTCAGTTTACAGTGATAAAAATAACAGAAAAGCAGAACATCCTCACATTGGAAAAGGTTAAATTAGGGAATGTTTGGTATTTTTTTATTGGGATTTATTGCTTAAATGATTATTTGATGATTGTAATAGTTGGTTTAACCATTAACTATTTGGCATTTTTGCTTGGAAAATGAATCAAATGACGGAATATCACAATAGTTGCAGGTCAACTGACGTAGTTGTTGCAGATATGTCAAAGATATTCCATGTAATTTGATGTTTTATTTAAATGTATCTTGTGTGTTTACACATTTCACATGTAAGCTACTTGGTACTCAACTTGGGGGGGATCTGGAAGCAGGAGAGGGGAACAGGGTGGGATATATAATACACACATTTCATAAAAAACAGTGCTATTTAATATTTTCAATGAAGAAAAGAAAACAATAAGCAGCAGATTCCTGCACGTTACCTCTATGAGTTTGTCTCTCTTCTCCAGGCTGTCCCTCAGTTTCCTCTCCTCTCTCTCTCTGTCCTCTCTGTTGTTCTGCCAGGCTCTATCGGCCTGCTTCTTCTCCTTCTCTTTCTCCCTCAGCTCCTGCCGAGTGTCTCTGAGTTGAGCTGTCAGAGAAGACACCGTCTGACTGTGGCTCTCCTGCTGATTCTGGTGAAAGACATTTGTTGTTGCTGTGTTATGTCTGGTTGTAAGACCTGTCACATCCTGCTAACTTTTTGATTTTCTGTACAATTTATTTATTATTACTCAATTGGCAGTATGGTTTCCCTGCCAGTCTCAGCTGCTGATTTTGATATTTGGTAACACTTTATTTGGATAGTGTGCATACCAGCCAAATAAAGACAAGTTAAAAGCCCCATTATGTAACTTTTCCATCTTAAAATAACAGCTCCTCCTCCCCTCATGATGAAATCTCACCTTCACCATATCCTGGTATTCCTGCAGGGCTGTGTTGAGTTTGGTGACCTCCTTGCACAAGGTGGCGTTGTTTCCCTCTCTGTCCTCCAACAAGGCTGCCAGCTGAGCCCCTCCCCCAGCCAACCCCTTACCAATCACAGAGTCAGAGACAGCCTGGAGGAAAATGACATGTTGTGAGCAAGAGTTTCCCTGTGGTCACTGAAGTCAATATTTACTGACAAAGCTCATCGGAGGCCAGGAGGAGGACTGCAGAACCGGCTCCTCATTCAATAATACAGAGAACGAAAGCTCTGCAACTTTCTCTTAACTGCAGCCATTTGAAAACTCTTCTCCCAAGCTCATATTTTCTATTAAGTCTGTGGATCAAATACAGAACCACAGCACAGTGAAAGCAGCTAGTATTTAAACATTATATGACAACAAACACCAGAAATCTGCAACAATATTCTTGCCACAGTTACTATATTAACATACTCACAATGACAATGCCAACATGCTGATGTTAAGGAGGTATAATGTTTATATTAGTTTAGCGTGTTTGCATGCTAACCTTTGGTAATTAGCACTGAAAAAAGCTGAAGCAGATGGGGATCACCAAAGGATTCCTACTCTGCATAAAAAGTCATGGTAAGGCATTAAATAGTTGAGATATGGTATGCAGGGAGAGGTAGAAGATCTTTTTTAGCCCCAAGCAGTGCCTGCAGTCTTCCTCTCGAAAAGAAAAGAGGCTGAAAAGCACTCGCTGCATTGCTCGTTAAGTTTACTGCTGTGAGTGCTGTTTTACATTGCTGTTGTATATTTTTAACTTCTCTTCAGGACAGTAAGAGGAAGATCAAATGAAACTGTAGAAGTGTGTGTGGGGGTTGGGATTTTAAAAAGACACCCCCCCAAGTGGAAATTACAACGGTGTGTTCGTACATTACCTGTCCATCTTTCTGACAGCTCACCAGATTCTCTTTGAGGCGGTGGATCAGAGCCTCCTTCTCCTGCAGGACCGTAGTGAGGGCCTGGTCCCTCTGTCTCCACACCTCCCTCTCTTTCTCCACCTCCTTCAGCAGTCGCTCCTTCTCCCCCAGAGCCACTCGCAGGTCCTGGATCAACAACAACATGCAGTCCCAACTGAATAATATTTCAAGTACATACAGAGTGAACTGTGTATGGAACAAAGAATGTGGGTGTGTGTATGTTTTGAACCACAATGCATGCAATTCAACCCTGTTTTATAATGTGTGTGTGTGTGTGTGTGTGTATGTGTGTTCTCACATTGATAATATCCTGGTTGCACCGCAGCACGGTGTTGAGTGTGTCGAGGTCTCTCTCTCTGTCTCTTCCAGCCTTTCTCAGGGCCTCGATCTCTTTCTCCAGGCCCTTCTCTCTCTCAGTCACATCGGACCTCAAAGTCTCCAGAGCAGCCTACAGATCACAAAAACATGGTACCTCTGTATTTGAGACATCCAACGGGCAACTTTTTTGATAATCGAATAATCATGTTTTTTCAAGCAAAAATACCAATTATTCCCCAATTTTAGACTTTTTTTCCTTATAAAATGACTCAAACCAATTAGTCAATTACCAAAATAAGTTGGTGATACCACCAATCAATTAATTATTGCAAGCCTCCTAATTGTTTTAGTCCATTTTTTAAAGCAAAATGCAAAACATTCTCTGGTTCCAGCTTCTCAACACTGATTTGTTTTCAAACATGAGTTAAAACTGAATATCTTTGGGTTTTGGACTGTTGGTCAGACAAAAGAAGACATTTATAGAGCCTTGAGCTAAAGGAAATTAAAAACCAGTGTTTTCACAAATTCTTGACGATTAATCATGAAAATAATTAGCATGAAACAATATTGAAAATAATTGTACGTTGCAGTCCTACGTTTCAGGTGCATTAAAGAGGGAAGGAACACAGTCTGTCTGTGGGCATTAATTCATCAAACATATCTATGTGAATCAAATGAGGTAAAAAAAACAAAACTGGTTAAACTTCCTGCAGGCCTGAGGTAGAAAAAGTACACATCACAAGACCTGCACTGCTCATACAAAAGCCTCCAAGGGCAGGACGATCGAGTCTGATGACTATCAGCAAAAGTCTGCCTGCTCATGCCGATAACGGCTACGCTTCAGTGAGTGGGTAATTTGTGTCATCATAAGCAGACCCGGTATTTAGCACTCAACGTCAATGATCAGGACAGCGTCAGCTCTAACCTTGTTGTCAGACAGAGTTTGCTTCAGATTCTCAGTCAGCTTGTTGGTCAGCTCAGTCCCTGCTCCCTCCTCCACACACAGTCTTCTGATCAGACCCATACACTCCTGGTAGAGAGGAAAGCTGTTAGAAATATGCTCATGTAACAGTGCAGTTAGGGTAAAACATTTTAACTTTACTTGAGTTTAAAGATTTAAGGCTAATCACAGTGCAGATTTTGTAAGATTTAAAGTTTATGAAGCTATTTTCATCATGAATCAATACACAGGCCCATAATAACCCTTAGCCAAGTCTTCATGTACTGTAGAGGCCAGATCCAAGCTGTTATGTATGCAAATGAAAACCACTGCAACCACCAGATAGTGTCATCATAAATCTACAGCTCCAAACAAGCAGCCACAGTCATTACTTATCTATTCACCCTTAAACTAAAATCTGTTAAAACCTGCTGAAATCTGTTTAAAGACTCACTACACAAGTTAAGAAATAGGCAGTTGTTGTCCTGACATTGAGGGTGTCATTATAAGGACTTAAAAATATTGGTTTTCATATGTTAAAGGAATAGTTTGACACACATATTGGCTTTCCTTGGCAAAAGTTAGATGAGAACATCAACACCATTCTCATTTCTGTATGATATATATGAAGCTACAGCCAGCGGCATGTCAGTAGTTTAAGATAGCTGCTTTCAGTCTTTATGCTAAGCTAAGTTAAGCTAAGCTTCACATTTAACAGACAAATAGTATGGTATCAATCTTCTAAAGTCTCATCACGAAAACATATACTTTATAGATACAATCTTATTTTATGTATTGTAAGGTTATTAGTGAATAAAGCCACTACTGCAAAACATTTTCCTACAGCAGGGACTTTGTTATACAATCACTCATTGTTAATCTTTAACAGGCTGGAATTTTTTTTTTTTTTTTTAAATCAGCGCTTTGATAGGACAGCCCTATTTGCTTTAGCCACTTAGCTATGACGTTCATACAGAGTAACGTACAACAATCCAATACAATTCCTGCTGTAAATCATCAACGTAATAAGCAGCTAAAAATAAGGGCAGTCACGATCAAAGCTTAAGAAAACATACTTCACTGGTACAATGTGGTGAATAGACACCAGTGAATGCAGTTTTGGCACTGTCACTTTAAGGGCGTACAGTGACTTCAAAGACAAACAACATTCCAGTGAGCTTTGAGCCAGAGCCCCAGCAGGAGCAGAAGATCCAAATGCTGTGTGCATGACTGAGTCCTGTCTCCCCTCATCACCTCACCCACCTGGATCAGACGCTCCCGGCTGTGGAGGGAGTGTCCGAGGCCCTGCAGCAGGGAACTGCCACCCTCCTCCTGGACCAACTGGAGGAAAGAGGAAAACAAAGGACAGTTTCTTTTAAAAGTCAGAGCAGTAGATGAAACTGTGGTGTTCATTTCATGATTCTTGGGTAAGGCTGAGTGAAATATACTCTAGATCCCACAGGGCTGGGTTTTTAGGGCTGCATCTAATGATTATTTTCTCTATTGATCATTTAGTCCACAAAAACAATACAAATTTGGCACCTTGTGAAGAAATTGAATTTGTATTGTTTTTGTGTCATCAGTGTTTTGTTTTGTCCAATAAAAAGTCCAAAACCCCCAAATATTACATTCACTATCTACAACCGGCGGTTTGTCCCCTGTAGGCCACTGTAAAAACATGGCAGTTCAATATAGTGGCTTCCATGGAAGGTGACCCGCAAGCGTCTGTAAATAAAACGGCTCATTCTAAGGTAACAAAAACACAAATGGTATTTTATTTTAAGATAATCAATGGCTTTCAGCCCTAATCAAGATCTTTTAGGTCAGTGCTTCACTGATCAAGGTATTTTTGGTATATAAATCAGTAAGTGAAGGCATCACCGTTTCTATGCTGTGATATTCAGCACTGATTTTGACTGTATTCAGTTCAGTCATGCATTCAGTCTGTTATATTCAGTTCAGAAAAAAATAACCTCTACAAGCACTGCACATGAGGTTAATAGCTCATCAGCCTTTTATTTACATTAGAGTTATCAGATTCAGATATCAGAAGTAACGTAATGTGAATCACTGAGCTACTGATTCAATAGAGTCAATAACAATGGTGATTCAGTATAGTCGGTTCACTTTGACAATCTGTTGATAAAGATTTGTTCGTGCGCGTACTGAATGCCTCTAATGTTTAAACCTGCTGCTACTCACACATATTTCACATGAATTCTTACTAATATTCAACTTGTGAACACAGCGCCTTTAGATCATGTGGACACACTCTCTATAAAGCAGCTGAGAGACCTTTTAATGATATCCTCTATCATAAGACTACTGAGCCTGGGGCAAACTCCGCTGGTCGGGGAAGATTCCAGAGAGAGGCTGTGTTTGTGTGTGTGTCTGTGTGAGTGTGTGTGTGTGAGTCTTTATCTGCACCTGTAAATGAGGAAACATTGACACACCCTTCCACAGGCATAAAACACAGAACACCCACCCTCCATTCCTTTCACAATGTTATATGTGTGCTAAGTCAACATTAACAGAGTGGTTTAAGGAGCTGTTTGGACGTGCGACTGAGAAGCTGCTGTGCAATAAACCTGTTTTTCTTGTGTAAAAAATGGTTAGAGGCAATCATCTCTTACGACAGCTGGTAAAAAAATATCAACTGTGTGGGTACATTTTTTTTTAATCACAACACCAATTCAATCTCCACTTTATTTATTTAATTTCAGATTATTAATAAGTTTATACATGTATGATTAGCTTTTTTTTAATCAATATTAAAAATAAATATCTTTATATTTCATCTATTTATAGACTGATTTATATACTGTTTATATTATTATCAATTTTTTTAAATTAATTATACCACTGACAATGTTCGACATTTTGAAACACTTATTTTCTTTCTTGCCAAGTTACATCTCATATCTCTCATATCTTTTAACTAAATATAAAGCTAGAGCTAGCAACCTGTTAGCTTAGCACAAGAACTGGAAACTGTTTTTTTACGAGGGGTCATGCGTCACACTATTTCTTGTACAGGATTAAACAAGTTCTAACGTGTTGAAGTACAGTTTCAGGTACACTTTTTCACATCTGTCGTATATGTCGTCTGTCGTGTTCATAGTCGCCATTACTTAAGATCCATCATGGCTCCAATGTAAGTGTTTGGGGACGAACTTTACAGTCCTGATTCTGAAATGCATCCTAAAGTGTATTTTAGTACACACATATTTTGGTGTTATGACGCGGTGGAGGAACAGTAACTGTAGCTGTAACTGGAAAACCTAAAGCTTAAAGCTAAAGTTGGGAATGTATTTTTCCACAGAACGAGGACTGTGAATTTTGTCCTCCATCACTGACACTTAAATTGCTGATTACAGCAAGAAAAACAGTTTGTACTGTAAAACTGTTGAAACTGTGTGTTCAATGTACACAAGAGCAACTTGTGCCAGGCAAGCTGTTTCCAGTCTTTATGCTAAGCTAAGCTAACTGGCTGGCAAAAAAAGCAAATAAACCCGTTCCCTTTGTCAAGTGGAGTGTGGGAGAGAACAAACTGAATACTTACAGGGGCCCAGTCTTCTGATCCGTTTACTTCCGTTGGTTGGCCCCTCCCATGTTTCAGCTCGGCTTCCAGGGTCCTGATGCGGGACACGGCTTGGTCCAGCTGGCCTCGTAGGTGCCTGACGGCGTGTTGAACCCTGCCAGTTGAGCTCTGAAATGAGGAATGAGTTTATAGTTAACATGAAATTTGGTATTATTAAGTAAAAACAGGTGGTTTCGCAAAGTTCTGATCTTGTTGCACCACGGGATTGGCCTCAGTTGTTCCCGGATTAGGTATTGCAGGCCACTGTGTCAATATTTACAGCCACTAGCGCACACAGCACCTGGTCAGAGTTCTCCCATTCATTCATTCATGTATGCAGTACATTTTCACAGTCTATGGAAGTGGTTCTCAAACTGGGGTCCTAGCAGAAAGGGGGAATCATTTATTTTCACCATTATCACACAATGTATCACTATATTGGTCATGGGTTTCATTCACTTTCTGTTATAAAACATCTAAAAGCAATCCTATCAGATGGAGGACCCTGGGACAAAAGCTTATCAACCTTACCCGTGGTCTAATTTGTCTCAGTTTAGGGGTGGAGAACTACTGGTCATGCTCACCTCTCGATGAAGAGGCATGAACTCGTCCCTCAGCTCTGTTAGCACATCCCCGTCTTCTTCATCCATTTCATCCCCTCCGTTCTCCACATTCCCAAAGTTCAGCACCCTGTTCACTGATGGCGACGCCATCTCTCCAACTTTTCCCGAGCACCTCCCGTCCTTCCTGCCCAAAACTGGGATCCTGCTCCCCGATGGCGAACTGACCGGCTTTCCTTCAATGCTTCTCAACTCCTTCAGCACAAAGTTGACTGACTGAACACCTGGGGAGTCAAACGGGTCGTTGCCGTCAAGAGAGTCCAGAGACTGAATAGACGCAGTGCGAGAAGATGCTTGTAAGGAAAGACAGGACCCCGCCAGTGACGACGGACTGGAGCTGATGGATGGCACCCTTTGCCAGTGGAGGGGCATGCTCTGGGATTTGTCCCGTGATAATGCCAATGGGGAGAAGGGTTGAAAAGGCAAGTTGCGAGGAACCCCACAAACGGACTCATAATCCGAGTCGGACACCCGTAAGGAATCACAGCCTTCGCATCCTTTGCCTTTTTTACATCTTTTACCCGTTCTTATAAAATACGGACACGTGTCCCACTTCTCGGACCAGCACTCGTACTCCGAGAGTGCCATATTCTCTTTGAGCATCTCCCTGTAGCCCTCCTTCTCCGCCTCGCCATCCTCCTCGCTGGTGCTGCCCCGGCTCTGGAACTCCCGTGGGTGTCTCTGGTGGTAGTTTTGGCGTACCCACTGTCTGATCTTGTCCCTCTCCTGCACCAGCTTCTGCAGCTTCTCAGACGAAAGCACCCGCACCCTGGCTATCACCGAGTCGAACTTGAATACCCGCTCGAGGATGCACACGCATTTGCCACACACAAACTCCCCCTGCCCGCTGCCCCGCTGTACAGACTGTCCCAGTATATGAGTCAACACCGAGAGCAGATCCATTCCTTTGGACGGGGAGTTCAGGGATAACTGGGACTTGGACAGAGACACTGAGGAACCCAGAGATAACGTACTGCCTGTTAAGAGTAAAAAATAAAGATTACTTCAGACTTTTCAGCAGGCAGCTCAAACACTTTTCTCTTTTCCTTATGCTCCAGACTCACCCCAGGGGCTGCTCTGCGAGGACCGGGACAGGCTTCCTCCTCTCAGGGACTCTGTCGGGGTCTGAGACTGACCAGTCTTCTTATTTTGGCCCCCAAACAGCCACCGCCTTTGGTTTCCCAGGAGAGCTCCGCCACATATTCGGCACAAGTCGCTTTTACCCCTGGAGGACATCGTGGATCGAGGGCCGATACTCTCCCCCTTGGTGTCTGATGGATTTTAGAAATTCCCTGTGGATTAAAACAGAAAACAAACATGCATGGATGCATTTAAAGAAGCTGTTTCCAACCTGGGAATCAGGAGGGGGTCACAAGATGAACACCAGAAGAAGAAACAAGAAAAGCCTTAAAGAAAAAAACCTTTGTCTGATACTTTGGTTTACTAATTACTGTAATTGTGACTTAAAACTAACATATACAATTAACTCAAACACAACCCATGTAATACACACATATACACTTATTCTATTTTTTCTATTTTATTGTATTTTTCTATTCTGTTTTTTTATTGAATGTGTATTTTCTTATCTGTTGTGTTGTATCTGGAGCTGCTGTAGTAAGTGAATTTCCCCAGTGTGGGTTGAATAAAGTCTATCTTATCAGCATGATAACAACTACCTAAAATGACAGAAACTACCTTCAGGAAAAGGATTATCTGACGTGTATTGACTTTTTTTAATTTTAGCAGAGGGCTTCATGACCTAACACTGCAGTCAGCCACCAGAGAGTGATCGAGATGTTTTGGCTTCACTTTCAGAGAGCTGTCACGTCGTCCATCTTTAATATTACTGTTACAAAGGGCACAAAGGCAGGACAGGGACAAACAATTACAAAACAGGCAGAGAGCGGGGCACCACGGCCACAGTGGCATACGGTTTATAGGAGGGCATCGAGGACAAAGTGAAAACAAAGTGACTTTAACCTCTCATCACGGGTTTAATAGGTCTACGAGTTGTAAGCAGTTCAACAAAAGTGATTTATCATTTGCTTTGTTAAAAAAATAAGGGGTGAATTATAACAGAGAAGTTGGAAAAGTCACATTTATCTTGTGACCCCTTTTGGTGGGATGAGAGTTGAGTTTGCAGCCTACTTTATTGTCACAGTAAACGTTATAGGAAGGAGCAAGAGAAAGCCAATTTTTAAATTAAAATCAAGATGGCTTGTAGCCAGTTTGATTTTAAAAAAGCCTCTTGGAGTTTATGCTGAATAAGTCTTCATTTTCACATTAAAAGCAGGTCAGAGGAAGTTTAACAGAGCCATCTAATCTAATCAGTTTGACATATGAAGTGTCTCCCTGGTGCTTTGACTCATGATTGTGTTGTATGGATGTTTTGGCCGGTTTATTGGAGCTCACAGCTGCTGTGTGTTTACAGTAGCTTCCCACAGGGCGGGACACGTCGACCTTGAGCCACGCTGACAGTGGATTCAGTCAGACTGTCCATGAATGAAACTTTCTCTTCAACACTCAGTCTCTCCGTGGACCTTTCGCCTCTCGCAGGGCGTCCGCAAATGTTTTTAAATCAAATATGAGACATCCTTGAATCATTTTAACCCGTTTAAGACACAGTTGACATGGTGGGGCATGAATTTAACATGAAAATGTGCTTTCTGTGCACGAAAACTGTGAATTAGAACCATAAAAGTGGTTATAATCCACGACCTTTCCCTGTTTGAATACAACAATTTAAGGCAGTACTCATTTTCCGGGAAACACAAACAGCATGCGACGTGTTTCCAAAGGGAATCTCTTCATCATCCAGTGGAAAATAGTTCAACTATCGTCTATCTGATGCTATTTTAAGCCACTGAGGTGCAGCGAGTCAATGTGAAAGTAAGGCCAGCCTGTGAAAGAGGAGCTTCGGTGTTTCAACATGCAGGAATATCACTGAGAGCACTCACCTCTCTCCGTTCAGCTCCGGCTGGATTCACAAACACACAGCGAGCTTTCATACAGAGAGTTTTAAAAGGCGCAACTTGCGTTTTTACGCACTGAACGTGGTAAAAAAAAAAAAATAAATAAAGTTAAAGTCCGTCCACAGAGGAAGAGAGACACACAGACACACAGACAACAAAAGTTAGCCGAGGGGAACAAGTTTTCTGACAGAAAAATCTCCACCGGGAACTGAGCTGGAGTCTCGTTGCAACACACCGGAGCTGCTGCAGAAGAAGAAGAAGAAGAGAAGGTGGGTGTCACCTTGCTGACGTCATCAGCCATACCTGTTTGGTTGTAGCGCGAGGAGAGGACAGGGGAGGAGGTCTGCACACAACACCGGATGAGACCGTGGACACGCAGCTCATCCACAGTACGGAGGGGAGCGGGGGGAGACCGGGTCCTGTTGGCACTCCTCACCGATTGTTTTAGCCTGTATTTATGTACATTTTGGCATATTGCCACCCTTAAAAGTGTGCCGAATTCACTATTAGTAGTTTCTATTTGCAGTGCACCCATGGATGCACACACAACTGTCACCAGATTACTTTGATACTTAAGAACACTTAAAAATGTGAGAATTTTCAGGCAAGTTCGGAAGCGTCTTTTCACTCTCTTTTGGCTTTTTGTTTTGAGTTTGTCCTGCAGAAGGAAATCAGAAAGGATCTAATCTTATGCGTTAATACCTCAAAATTGCAAGAACATTTTAATAATTATAAAATACTTAGTTTTTCTTATGGGATAGTATCTCAGAATAATCTAGTCTAATTATCTAGCGGACTAACTGGAACTGATTGGGAAATATATAACCCACAACCCCTATGAATGAGTTCATTAAGGAAAATCAATTAGTTTAATTGATTGACCACTTCCCCCTTGCTGCTGTGATCTAATCATGTGTAAAGGGCAAAAGAGTCATCACGTATACACTAGTGTCGTGGCTAACTATTATCTATACAGGTTATCAGGACAAGCTACATAAACATCTCAACAAAAGAAATAGGAGATAGCCTATTTAAGTGAATTTGAAAGTGTTAAAAGACATTTAAACATTAGATAAAACACAGATAGTCGGTTAAGATGACTTTATATCATTTAAAACGTTTTTAATGACACTAATTTAATTGTGTCTGTGTTGACTAAATTCTGCCAGTTTTGAGGATGTACTTTGTGGTACTTTTGTGTTAGTCTGTATTATATTTAAATGTGCCTCTAATTTTGTGTTACTGTACTTAAATTGAGGAGCAGTTACATAACAGACTGTCCAATACAAAAACAACACAAGCTACATTGTCAAGAAAAAAGTAGAATCAACACTTCTGACAATATCATGAACAATTCAAAATATAAGGTTTGATAAAGAAATGATGTACTGGACTACACAATGTAAAGAGGGGTTTCTATTCTTCTTATTCTGGACAGTCAGTGCTTGCAGGGTTAACATGCGGTTATGAAGTTGGTCATCTGTTACATCCCAATACCATTCCACAGTATTGTAGTTAACATCATATTTCAGAGTCCCACAAAACTACAAAATACCTTTTTGAACAAACTTGACAATTTTTTTAAATGAGCAGGTAAAAATTAGAGTATAAATTATATAGTTGGGGCAAAAGTGTCAAATAATGCTTGAAACGTGAAAAATTAGAGACTGATGTTTCTACAAATCACTTTAATACAGATATAAAGTACAACATTTCAGATATTCTGAAATTCTTACATGAGGCAGAAACAGATACAACAGTCACACATAATTAGTTTAAACTCTTCATCATGGTGCATTTGTGGCAGAAGATGCCAACAAGTTTCCCCCCCAAAGAGTGGAAGATAAAGCAGTCTTTATTGTTCTGTGCTGCAGTGCGAAATCCCCCTTTATGAGACTCTAAAGTACCACAAATGTCCACTAGAGGGCAGTCATTGATTGGTCTTTGTTCTTGTATTGCCATTATGCATGACTCACTGTGTCTCTTTAGGCTATTAACCCTAATATTATAGGGCCATTACAGGATGTTTCTATAAAGGGAATTTCAAAGCACTAGAAAATACAAGACCACAGATTTTTGATTGCACATTAAAGCCTTTTGTTTAGAAGAAAGCACTTACTTAAAGTGTTATTAGTAAAGTGTGAGGCAAAATGTATTTGATTTGTCATGGTTATAGCAAAAAAAAGGAATATGATACTGGTGTGAAATATAAAAAAACATAACTGAACTCACTGGGATGCTTCACAAGGCAAAAAATCCACTATAATCTATTAAGAAAACCTGCAATATTATGATATGGAAACATGATATATCTGATTTCATCATCTACAAAACTATAGATACTGCTAATGTAATAGGATTTGTGATGAAAAATGTATTGTAATAATAGGATTTTGTGTGTGTGTGGGAGGGTCAAATGTTTCTAAAATATCAATCATCTGCACATCTTTGTACAGTTTCTATAGTCAGTTTCAGTTTCTACAGTTTATATAGTCTATTTCAGTTGAATAGCACCCTGTATAACCTGCTCAACATCTCTCTTACAGTCTGTAGGTGAGTTATTTTTATGTGAGCCACTTCTCTATGCAGCTCCTGAACACTGTGAAGTTTGAGTGCCACTGAACGTGCTTCACTCCAGAGTGAACGCACACCGACACGTCCCCACGAGCGTCCAGCGTCTTCAGCCCAAATGTATCGTTCCTGTAAAACTTTCAGTGGGAGGAAAGCAGACAAGGACGGGTTATTAAAAAATAGGAGTAGAAAGGATGTATCCTGCTTTTGACAGAGGAAGTAAAAATGAAAAAGGGGTTTCCAGTAAACATAGAAGTGATAAAAATGTACCACAGGTGTAGGGTTCGACAGAGTTTCAATGAAATATATACATTAGTTTGCAACTTACGTCCTGGTTCCTCATTTCTATAATGTTTTCAGTGTTGTTATAGAATCCAAAGTGGCTGTGTAGAAAAGAGGAAACAGTCAATCCAAGTAAAGAGGTCCTGAAACGTCTGCTGCTATTTTAACTAAACAGTTCCCTCAAAGCACATTTTGAAAGCTCTGGTAACTGCTTCATTGTCTCTACCTAAGGCTGATGGCATTATTTACACTGGGGGTGACATTCAAAATCCTATTTTTGTCCCACAATCCAGAGAGGAGAAGATAGATATTGATAAAAGTGTTATGTTTCAGGCTATAAAACACAATTAAATATCAATTAAAGATAAGGTAAGGAGAGAAGCAAATAAAATATGTATCTAAAATAAAGTTATCTGTTAACAAACACCAGTGCGTTCAATTTCTATTTTTTCATCAGTATTGGGTCTACTGTGTATATAATATGTTATTTGCTAGATTGATATAAATATATAAACACAGGTATTGTTTTTTTCTGAAACAAAACCTTAATCTAAGCTTATGTGAATGACATCCTTTTTCTTTACATGATGCTTATCCTTGAAACAATAAATTTATCATTAGAACAGTGTGTATATGAGTTGTAAAACTGTAATGACCTGGACTGCCATGGTGTGATGACGCCATCATCTGGTCCTCCAATCAGCACAAGCTTCTTGATGCGCAGGAAGTTTTCCCTCCATACTGAGGTGGTGAATTGGAGAAATGCATGTTTAGTTTTGTTCTTTTACAGCAAACACATATTTACTGTACAGTGCTGTATAGAGTATGACAGTAATTAATTCCATTACCTTTCATGTTACTGTGAGGTCTTTCTCCATTAATCATCACCAGAAAGCTGTTGCTCTGCAGGAAGCGGGACCTTTGGTGAGGGTCTGTGGAGAAAATATTAACATATATCTGCTGTTGTAACTTTTAGGGGGAGAATTTAAAGGGCCATGTGCATGTGCGTGTTTTCATTCACACACATTTCACAGCCACTGTAGTTTCTCCTTCATGATTTAAAGGGCAGGCTGAAGCAGTGGAGTTGCAATTTACAACTACACCGCTAGAGGCCACTAAATCCTACACACTGGTCCTTTAATATTTTCTGCATTTCCAAACATTAAAGACCTCTTCCTTCATTCAACTGTGGCTGCAAACGTTCTCCAGTTCAATGAGAATTGAACTCATCTGTTAAATCACATGTAAAAAAAAAATCTTGGTATCATATTTGATTCTGGATTGAAGTTTGACAAACTAATTAATCAGGTAGTAAAATCAAGCATCATCATCATACAAACTAACCCTGGATTCATAGGCTGTAGACAAAAACTGCTTCACAGGCACACATGAAAAGTTAGAATTTTGGGGAAAAAGGACATGGGCAGGGAGTAATTAGTAAAGTAATACTACTTTTGAAAACAAACGATTAATCTGTAATAAATTACAATTTGTGAGCCCAACACTGGTTGTGTTCTATATAAATAAAGTTGAGTTGAGTCATTCTCACCATTCCAGTAGTCGCAAATAGACACTTTCTGTCCAAATCTGTTGTAGCAAATACGAAACACTGTCTTCTTCATGCAGTCAGGAAATACCCACTTCAGGTAGTCTGTGTCTGTGGAGTAAAACCATGAAAATACAGCATTTTGCAACTTAGGATATACTAAAAATCTATTCTCATAATTCAACAGCAGTTTTTAAATATCATCAGACATTCCTAAAATGTCATCAATCATTCCCTGGAGGTCAAGGGTTATACAGACATGCATAAAACATAAAATGAAGCTCACTGACCTCCATACTGTCCAGCCTGTGGTGAAGACAGCGAAATGAAGGAGTGGACGTTGTGGTCTGGAAGCGTGGCGAGAAGTGCTCGACAAATTAGACCACCTTAGAAAAAAGGAGAGGACAAAGGGGTCACAACATTTCTCAGACAAGTTTGCATAACTGAACTGTGAGCTACTTGGTTACAAAAAAAAAAGGTACTTATCTCGAAAGAAATGTGGAAGTGGAAGTTGAAGGCCTGTGGTTTGTCCCTCAACTTTAATATGTGTGATGTGTGTGTGTGTGTGTGTGTGTGTGTGTGTGTATTAGAGAGAGAGGGTGTGTGTCTGTTGTTTTACATGTCTATATTTGCATTGTATTGTGCAGCTATGTATGTGTGTTGTATGTCTTTATGAATGAATGTATGCATTTATATATACACGTGTGTGTATGTGTATATATAGATTGAGACCTTGTGAAAGGCAAATAAGACATCATGTCCTCAACCGCGCTGTTTATTGCACTGTTTATATATTCCAACACTCATGGTGATTATTTTGTTAAATTGACCTTCAGGAAACAGACACTCTGTCCCTTTTTGCTCTGTG